CAGATGAGATCGTAACCTAGAGCTGTCCACAATCAGCGATAACACATGCGCCTTTTGGCTTTCCAGATTGAGTTCCTTGTTCTTCGACCTTCTTGACAACATCCATTCCTTCAACAACTCTTCCGAACACAACGTGTTTGCCATCGAGCCAATCAGTCTTGACAGTGCAGAGGAAGAATTGGGATCCGTTGGTGTTTGGTCCAGAGTTTGCCTAAACGATTAAAAAGGTATCAAGCACTGTTCATACAATCAATACCATGGAGAGGATTCCTGGTCCAGTGTGACGCTCCTTGAAGTTCTCGTCTTTGAATTTCTCACCGTAGATGGATTCTCCTCCGGTTCCATTTCCACGAGTGAAGTCACCTCCTTGGATCATGAAGTTGGGGATGACGCGATGGAAAGTAGATCCCTTGTAGTGAAGAGGCTTTCCAGATTGTCCTTTTCCCTTCTCTCCGGTGCAAAGACAGCGGAAGTTCTCGGCCGTGTTTGGGACAATATCATTGAAAAGCTATACAGGAAACATATTTCAAATATCCATAGTAAGGAACACACCTCCATAACGATACGTCCGGCAGAACTGCCACCGATTGTGATGTCGAAGAAGACTCGTGGGCGAACCATGTTAACTACTGAAATCACATCATAGAGAACAAGCTAGGTCATTCAAGAGAAGGACTAAGATCACATTAAGGCGCTCATTGTTAAAGTCATAAACATGTAATAGAAAAAAGATATAACGGTTACTGTTATCCACTTTCCAAGCAGACCGCAGATGAATCAACCACTCTTCAGGTGACTACCGTCGGCTCTGGCCGTGGACGCTGACACTGGGAAACAACAAATGGACTACGCGGCCGTTTCGCGAACCAACAATTTGAGGTCTCGCAACGACGCGGAAAATTTGAAATGAATTTCTTCGCATTCTTTGTTCAACGGAGACTGATAAGCCTGCTGATCACAGTAAACTGAGTTTGGTATGAAAGTTGTTATTGTTAACTACGAATGACATAAGCTTGACAAAGCTGGTTGAATTAATATAATCACCAGAATGATACAAGAATAGTTTAAGAGATCTTAGTTTAGTTGTCCACAGTCACTGATTACACATGGAGTGCTTGGCTTTCCAGATTGAGTTCCATGAGTTTCGATGTTCTTGACAATATCCAATCCTTCAACAACTTCTCCAAAAACAACGTGCTTGCCATCGAGCCATTCAGTCTTGACGGTGCAGAGGAAGAACTGAGATCCGTTGGTGTTTGGCCCAGCGTTAGCCTGAACGATTAATATCATATCAAGCACTGCTCATACAATCAATACCATGGAGAGAATTCCTGGTCCAGTGTGGCGTTTGGTGAAGTTTTCGTCTTTGAATTTCTCACCGTAGATGGATTCTCCTCCGGTTCCATTTCCACGAGTGAAGTCACCACCTTGGATCATGAAATTGGGGATGATGCGATGAAAGGCACATCCTTTGTAGTGAAGAGGCTTTCCAGATGGCCCAATTCCCTTTTCTCCGGTGCAGAGAGCACGAAAATTTTCGGCGGTTTTTGGCACTTCGTCCACGAAGAGCTGGAGTGAAAAAAAATTGAAATATCCATAGTAAGGAACACACCTCCATAACGATACGCCCGGCTGCTCTGCCTCCGATTGTGATGTCGAAAAAGACTCGTGGTCGACCCATGTTCTCCACTGAAAATTAATTAAAAACTGAGCACCTGTGATAAAGCTAAATGGCAATTAGGAAAACGGATGAAACTTCATGAAAATGTGATAGAAACAAGTTTATAAAAGTTACTTTCCAACCATCTATTCTCTGAGCAACACGCAGTTTTATCAACCATGCTTCGGGGAAGAATACAATTGGCAGTGCCTAGTACGACAGCCACAAGAAAACCACAACTAGATCCGCCTCTCTCTGAATTTTACTAAAGGTCTCGAAGCGAAGCGAAAAATTCAAAAAGGATCTCGATGGATTTCTGGGCGAGGAGATTGATATCTGATAAGCACACGGATTGGAATATGCTAATTTTTCTGAGGAAGTTGTTGACATGAACGATTGGCTTCTTCATTATGATGATGGAATAGAAAAGTTTTAGGGATTGATAAAAAGGTTTCTCACGCATATTTGTTTTAAAACTATCCAGATTGTAAACTTCTCTCTGGTAACTGGTGTATAGGGTTGGTCATTAAGTTTGTAATTCGATTCCGAGCAAAGAAATTGTTCTTCATGATATGAGGTTTGATTTCCGTATAGTTTGCGTTCTCTCAGCATATCGTATTCAAAAAACATTTCAAAATCAACAGCGTGTAGTTTGTCTACAATCGATGAGCATTCCTGTTTTCGTTAATCAAACCTAATTAGAATATAATCACCCGGGAAAATTTCAAATTTGAATTTATTTACTCACGCTCTCAATTTCATTTATGCGCTCTTAAAGAAAGGAAACGGTTGTGCTCTGAGAACTGCAATTAATTTCCCGATTTTCCTGTAAGTATTTCTTAGTGTATTCTTCTCATAGTTACTTCATTTGGCAATTCTATTACGGCTAGGCCCTTGTCTGAGTGTCATTTATCGATTTTAGCCTTGAGTCTTTCTTGTGCGATTGCATATTAAGCTACAAACTTAAGCTGACACACACACACATACACAACACGGAATAATATTATGTTTATTGCGAAGGTGTTGTTTACTATGATTCTTATTGTATCATTTTCATCTTAATTGAGTTTTCTTTTCTATTTTTTTATTGTTCCAATCATCCATGATGCGTCAATTGTAGTCTGATTACACACGACTCCAAATAGCATGGAAGATTTGCTTTTGAATGATACCAATACCTCTGACTTACTCAGACATGCAACAATTGTTTTTTGCATCATCCATATGAACAAATATGTTTCAATTTTTATTAAAACTGCAGATTCACATACGGCGGGCACTTTCGTCATTCTGTCTGTGCTCATTGTTTGCTCTGCTGTCCCCTCCATTTCATAATTGTTCGGGACTTCACCTTAGCCCCATAAATCTATTCAATGCTGGAACATTATTGAAACTTTCGAAAATTCCCTCTCAATTTCATCATTTGGTTCGAAGCTTTTTTGAAATAATTCATTCATCACAAATCAGCTGCGATATCTACTGCTTCTACAGCTTCTGAATCATGCTTCATCTGATGGCTCTTCTTCAATACACAAGTTTGACTCATAAAGTGTTTTGAAAGTTTTATGATTTATCTTTCCACTCACTCCTACACACAATCCATCTCAGTTCAGCTAACCTGTGGTCATTGAATTTCAAAAGTTGTCTCGCATCTCGTCTAACCTCACTGCCTCCACTTCTTGTATGTTTTCTTCTGGAAAGTTTACAAAAAGTAAATTCTCAAAGAAAGTTCAATCAAATACATGAATAGACAACAAATTCTTTTTCATTCTCACTGTTTGCCAATATTTTCAAGAATACCTCTACGTTTCGCTGTAACCCCCCCCCCTCCCTAACTACACCCTCAGCTAATGTCTCTCATGAACTATGATGTCGAACGATGTCATTTAAACAAAACCAAGGACATCGCTTGTATGGCTGCTGATATCTCTGAATGATTGTTCTTTCAAAAGGTTTTCCGATCACCAAACCATTTTTCAAGTACGTCGGATTATTCCAATTTGAAAAATTGTCTTTTGCATCACTTGACATTCACAAAATGCCGTAAAAATGATTATAAACATGGGGACGTTCTTGATCCGGCGACATGCCTCTTCATCACTTTGAAGATTCATTTTCTCTCTCTCTCTCTCTCTCTCTCTCTCTCTATTTATTTGTAACCTTTGTGTATCCTTCTTCTTCATCAACAATCACATCCATATGAACTTTTTCAACAACAGCTTTGATTTACCTCTTCTCATCTCTCGCTGTGGAAGTACAGAACGGTTGCACCATCATGATTCTCTTCATTTTCTATCCACTTTTACCTTCTCTCTCGCTTTCTTTCATCCTATTCTTCCATTTCAAATCATGTCTCAACTCTCTCAACCTCTTGCCATCACTCTCTCTTCTCTATTTTGAGTAAAAAAAAGATATTTTTTCGTTTGCTTATATGTATTTCCTCATGTGTTGTTAAGCAAACTGTACCCCCCCCCCACCCCTTCTACTTCTTTGCTATCGAGTTGTCCTTCCATCTTTTTCAAACAAAATTGTTTTTCAAATCATTATTCTCACCAAGTTACGAGGGATCGTCATTCATTATAACCAAAACAATGTTTGAAACAAAAAATTTGAATGAAATGGCCATACTTCTCATTGAGAAACTCCCATCATCGACATTCATCAGACGTGCGTGTTTCCCTTAATTTCAGTTTTGCCCTTCTCAAAAAAAAAGTTTGAAATTGAATGAAAGATTCTGTCTGAAGTTTCATGTAAAAGATGAAGAAGACGATCAGATGTTCAAACAATAAGAGCGAGCGAGGCGATGTAACCTCTGATGTACGGAATGAAACTTTTTTTTTTCTTTTCAAAAACTGTTTGGTTGTTGAAACAATAAAATTTCTTGTTTTCTTCAACAAATTTACGTTGAAACACATTTTTTGGTCGCTGGTTCAGAGGGGACATACGAGAGAGAGAGAGAGAGAGAGAGTGATAGAGGGAGAGATAGAGAGAGTAAGGGATTCGTATCTTCTTCCTTCCCTTCCCTTCTATACAGTTTGAGAATGTGAAAGAGGTCTTTCTCATTATAATCTTTGCCTTCTCTCAGCCTTCTTTCATTCCCTCTCTCTTCGGATATCTTCCTCTCTCTCTCTTATACTCTCTCTCTATACATCCTGTATGTTTCTATGACCGCCCATTGTTGGAAAGTCCCAATAGATTTCCATATATGACTAGCGATCAGTCTGCTAATATGAATAAACCAATGTCCAGTTTATAGTCACAAATATCAAATATGTTGTCTCTTATTAACTTAAATTTAAAAGGTTATAAATAATGAATGAAAATGTTCTTTCGTCGTCGTCCTCGTCGTCGTTGTCGTTGTCATCTTCTCAATGAAACATTCAAAAGCCAAAGACAACGATGGCCGTGCCTTTCTTCGACCGGTTTCAACTCCTCTTTTCCAATCTTTTTTTTTTTGTCTTCTGTTAGTTTATTTCTCTTCATCTCACCCCTTCTATTTTAATTTTTTAAAGGAAATGAGACAGTTTTTCGAAAATCACTCTCTCTCTCTCTTTCTCTCTCTCTCTATCACTCTCTCTCACTGCCTTCAATAGCTCACAGAAGTTTGTGTTGTAAACAACACATGTTTAAAGACTATTGCCAGATGAGTAGATTTCCATTTTTTTTCTTTTTTTTTCATTTCATTTGACGATTCGCTTTCTTCACACATCTTCTTGTTGCATCCTATTACTATGACTTAACTATAGCCATTCTCGTCTAACTTTTCCATTCAAATCTCTTTCCGTCCTACTGCTCCTCATACTCTTCATCGACTACAACCCAACACACACTCACACACACATACACAACACATACTCATATAGATATGAACAGCCTTAAAGAGGGGGAAACGAATGAATGAAGCTATATGAGAGAGAAAGAGAGAGTTAGAGAAACAGAGAGAAAAGTGAGATCAAGGTAAGTTGTACTAACTTCAACAAGTAAATCAATCTTCTTCTTCTTTTTTTTTATTACTTCTTAAACACTGAGCGGAAAAAAAAGAAAAGGATTTTGGGTGTAACATGTCTCGCACACACAGTTTCCGAGCTTTTCCTCACTCATCAAGAACAACATCAGCATCATCATTGATGAAAGTTCTTTTGAACGATAACTCATCTAGACGTGAGCACTGTTAGTCCATTGTTAACCTTGTCATTGTCATATCACACTACCAACTACAATCTCATATTCCCATACCATAATCCATATTTATGTTTTGAAATCTGTTTGTTCAAACATTTTTATAGAAATATTGATTTGTTTAACTATACATTGATACTTTCTTCCTCTTTAAAGATGATGTTTTGAAATATGTTTGAGCTGATTAGCATATTCATTGCTCACGTGAGTCACGTAACTGAATCACGTAAAGATGCCGCTTATACTCATTTTCAGCTTTTGAGTCATTAAGCGGTTGTTCCTATGTGCGCTCTATTACCATCACCTACTTTCTCTCTCTCTCTCTCTCTAAGTATCTCTCTCTCTCTCTATCTGTCCATATCATCATAACTTTCTTCTATAAAAACCCTTTTATATCACTTTGTTAAGTCTCTTATCTTCATCTATCTTTCTCTTTCTCTCTCTCTCTCCCTCTCTGTACCCTCTCATCTCTCATACTCTATCATCTTCATGTCTTATTATCATTTTTATTGTTTTTAATCACAAAAATGTTTTTGATTTCGCAGACAAGCAACTATGATTATTCCAAATATTTTTGATTGTGAAACATCCCAAACCATGTCGTCTGTGATGCGATGATCTCTTCTCTCCCTCTTCTCATCACATACTCACAACTGTATTCTGAATTTACTGTCAACAAAAGCTTTTTGTCAAACAAAAAAAAAACAACAACGACAACGCTTACTATCAATGCTTTCAATTGGCAAATGATCATTGTGTCACTTCATCAATCGTAAGCACAGATGAGCCCATCTCCAACATCTGACAATGATGATGATGAAGAAGGAGAAGGAGAAGGAGAACACCTTTTGCTTTTCCTTTTTATCTGCTGAAACACTAGTTGACCTGAATAGTTTCTTTTAGTTTTTATCGTCTAAACTGCGCCTCTTAACCCTTACGCCTATCATTTGCCCCCCTTCGCTGCCATCATCTCCCCCCCCCCTCCCTTCGTTCAGTATCGTCTTTCTCCCCCCAGTCCCAGCCCCATATTGTCGCCCATCGTTTGGCCATCACCTCTCCTTGCTTCTCTCGCCTCCTCCTTCGTGTGTCCAAAACCTCATTTTATCAGTCAAAATGCTGACAACTCTTACAATAATCTATGTTATATATATTTGCTTCTTCAACTATTTCATTTTCTCTTTATAAACGACGCTCATCGTTATTGTTTCATTTATTTGCTTTCTATTTGCAGGTGAACCTTCCAATTTCATTGAACAAGCCATGTCTGCTGAACCAAAATCTTACGTAAGTTTTTCATTTTTTTTTTTCGTTTTCTTCTTCTCAAATAATTCTGCCGACGTTTGTTAGCTTTTCCTTTTTTACGTTTTTCAATCGCTTTCTGTCGACTAAAAGAGAATGAGAGAGAAGATGACTGAGAAGAGAGAGAGAGAGAGAGGGGGGAGAGAGGGATTGGTGAAGAGTTTGTTAACATATGAGAGAGAGAAAGAGAATTTCTCTCTTTTCATAACGGAAAGCTTGCTGATTACAACAATCCCTCTAATAAAGGGCTTCGTTTACTAACCAAAAGTTCAAAATGGTTTTGACCAAAACTGGATTGTGGGTAATACCATGTTTGGTCATTTCTGAGGATATAAGCTAGTTATAACCTTTTCAAACGTAATCTTTTCATTTGCTGAAATGAAAGGCTTTCAATTGATTTTTGATTTTTTTTTTCAACCAAAAAAAAAATTGAAATTGTCCACCTCGCGCCTCAAGTCATTTCCATCTCTCTTTCACTGACTAGGGCGGCGACGACGACAACGACGACGACTACCTCATCGTTGGGATTAGACAGCAATGGAAATGGTCATTAACTGCAGCTTCCTACACACATAATCTTTGACTTTCTAAATTAATTTAAGAGAAAAAATGATAAGATTTTGTAGTTTTGAATTGAATAACAATCTCCGGAAGTAGTGGGCACCTTCCAGACGTCTCCATAGAGAGAATAGAAAGAGAGAGAGAGATGGAGAGAGAAGGAGAGGGCAGTTGATAGAGAGAAGGTATGTGGACCTTGTAATTTGCCGTGTAAAGCCCTCGTATACACTTGGTGATAAGTGTCGTCCAAACAAGGAATGGGGAAATGCTTCTTGAGTCCATTCGAAGATCTTTCCCTTACTCATTCTCATCACACATTGAAGTTTGATGATGAAGTGAGAGCAAGAGAATGGGAAGATGATAATCAGAATCAACATACGCATACACACACACACACACCAGATCCACAAACTGTGATTCATTCTTGGCGGAATGTATGAGAAGGCGTAGCGTCAACATGCTTTTCTCACATTTTCCCTCCTGAATTCTCTTGAATTTCAATAATCAATTCCCTCTTGAATGAGAAAGGACAGAGATCATATGAATGGGAGAGTTTTGTCACATTATGAGTGAGAGAAATGAGAACGGTAAGAGAGCTGAGAGTTAAAAAGGGAAAAAAAAACAGAAAACGTCCTGCCCTCCAACGGCGGACGTCGCCTCTCACATCTCCTCCAGTCTCTTTCGATCGCAGTTGTTGCTATTTAGAGCTGCTTAATAACATCTATTCATCATGTGCTCTTTCCTTCGTTGGTATGAACAAGATAAGGTCAGCTCATGTTATCTAAACTCCATAAACATCTCTCATCTGCAAACTTCAATTGATTTGACATAGATGGTTTTTGCAATGTGAACTGAGAGCTTCAAATCTCTCTCTGTTCAGCAACTTCTATGTCCTTGTGGTTACTAACCATCTCTTCTCCTCCCAGAATGTTGTGACATGCTAATGCAACCTTCAAACAATCCAGTTCCTTTTATTCTTTCGTCTTTCATTTACCTCCATCTTAAACGATAATTCGAACGATCTGGTCGACTAAGAGCTGTCTTCAATAAGAAATAATAGTTATGACAAGCTGTTGATGTCATACGAAGTTGAAACCTTCTCACTTTCTATCGGCTTTAGCCAAATATAGAAGTGCATATGAATGTTGGCACGACAATAGTCTGATTCAAGAGCATTCTTTTGACCATAAATGGCCGACTATGTTTACCTTGTTTGCTCTGTCAAGTATCTAATATTGAGAAAAACGAGAATTGATGTCGTCCGCCAGCTCAGTGTCAGAAACCCAAGTGGAGAAGAGAAGAAAAAAAAAGAAAAAGTTGTGTTGGAGTTTGATAAGCATTTATCAGATAAATCATGGCAGTCAAATGATGCCATTAAATGCCTCAAACTCAATTCTCATAAACGGGGTTCGTATTGACATTTTCATTTTTTGCATGATTTCAACATTGTGATTGAGATTAGTCAGAATAAGAAAAAAATGAGAGCGTAATGATTCAGCACCCAGATCTCATTCATAACCATCGTTTGTCAAACATGTATATATGTGTTGTCAATCGAATGAAGAATGATCTGAAGTTATCCTTTTGAATGACGTCTTCTCATACATCTCCTATTCTGTCTTGCTAACCTAGGTAAGCACAAGTTGTTGACGTAGACAGCCTAGCCATGTTCTCATCATAGTTGGGTCTTATCGCAAAACGAAATCACATATTCTAGGCAAAAATGCTGAAATCTGAGAGTTTGCGATTGAGAACGACACAGCAACGAACAGAGAACAGCCTTATCGGCTATGAACAACGAAATAGAAAATTTGGTTATTTTGCTGAAACAGAGAGAAAGAGAGAGAAAGTTGCTCAAAGCAATAAAAGAAAAAGCTGCCAACGGCGTCCATAGTCTCATGTCTTTCCTCCTAATCCACGGTCTAAAACATGAGAATCATCCTTCCATAGCTCCATATCTGTGTTTCCGTCCTTCTTTTTCATGTCACAACCGTTCTCATTGCTTTTTTTCTTAAAAATGAAATTATTCATGCTGGCAATTAGCATATGTCGCTCGAGACACGCAATCATAGAATATGCTAATTGACCGTGACTATTAACATTCCGTTTTATTGGAATTAATATATATCTAAATATATATATATGTTTTAATAGCCAAACTGATTTCCAAAAATCTATGCTGGATGATTACATTACTCGATGTCATACTATGGCATATGAAAGGCGATGATAATGAGGTTTGGATAAATGGAAATCCATAGTATCGCAGTTTGAAAACAAAAAGATTTTCGTAGATCAGCTTATTACGAATGAAAGAGCCAAATGGAGTAAGAGAAGGAGAGAAGAGTAGAATAGAGAGAGAGAGAGAGAGAGAAAGAGTATGTGTGAGAAAGAGTATATGGGCTATGTGCTTATAATAATCAAAAAAATATTTTTTTCATCTAGCATTTCATAAACTGTAATTTTAACTTTACGTATTCCAGCCAGTCCCATACCGTAGTCTCCTTCAAGAGAAGATTGAGCCAGGACAAACCTTGATTGTCAAGGGATCCACCATCGATGAGTCTCAAAGGTTCGTTTTTTTTTTGATTGGCACAGATCTGAATAGAATGATATGGCCTTCTTATGTTCCACATACTGATATGACTGATTTTCTTCTTTCTTCAGATTCACCATTAACTTGCACAGCAAGTCCCCTGACTTCTCCGGAAACGATGTCCCTCTTCATATTTCCGTTAGATTCGATGAAGGAAAGGTAGATTGATGCACAACGTTTCAAGCCATAATGAATACATCATTTGCAGATCGTTTTGAACTCTTTCCATAATGGAGAGTGGGGAAAAGAAGAGAGAAAATCCAACCCAATCAAGAAGGGAGATTCTTTCGATATTAGAATCCGTGCTCATGATGATAGATACCAAGTATGAATTGATTACCAAGCTACAACAGTCAAACAATGAATTTAAGATTATCATTGACCACAAGGAATTCAAGGAATACGAGCATCGTCTTCCAATGAGCTCTGCCTCCCACATGTCTATTGATGGAGATCTCTACCTCAACCACGTTCACTGGGGAGGAAAGTACTATGTGAGCCAAATTTTCTACTTGATTTCGTATCAACATATGAATTTAGCCAGTCCCATATGAGAGCGGAATCGCCTCTGGATTCGAAGTAGAAAAGACCCTTCTCATCTTCGGAACTGTTGAGAAGAAGGCTAAGAGGTGAGATTCGAAATGAAGTGTAGACAGAACTCAATTATTCAGATTTAACGTCAATCTTCTTCGCAAGAACGGAGACATCGCTCTTCACTTCAATCCTCGTTTCGATGAGAAGGTAATTGAAGGTGAAAGCTCTCGTAAACTTTGATTTTTTTTTTCCAGCATGTCATCAGAAATGCTCTTCAAGCTAATGAGTGGGGAAATGAGGAGAGAGAAGGAAAAATGCCATTCGAGAAGGGAGTTGGCTTCGATCTCTCAATCGTTAATGAACCTTATGCTTTCCAAGTAAGGAAATAGACAAATTATTAATAAACATAACTATATATAGATCTTCGTCAACGGAGAGCGTTTCGCTTCATTCGCTCATCGTTCTGACCCTCATGACATCACCGGACTTCAAATCCAAGGAGATATCGAGCTCACCGGAATCCAAATTCAATAAATCTTTCGATTAATGATGTGAGCAACTGTTTTTGGTTGTTAACGTCATTATCATTATCTAATTATGAAAATGTTTGAATGTTCATTACCATTACGTTTGTTTAGCAACTAGAAATGAAATGGTCTTGAATTATAAACAGTTGTTCATTCTAATTTCCATTCTAGTAAGAGTTATTCGAGTCATCGGATCATACCGTTATTCTCAATATTTCCTTTTATGTAAATTTTTATTATAAAAATAAATTTTTAAGCGACAATGTTTTTTGGACAATTAATCGTTGAACGCGACGCTCCCGAAGTCCGAGAGGCGCGAGAGCTCACAACCGTTCAACACGTCAGCAATATTATAAATGAAAATTCAACAATGCAGTTGGGCCATGTGAATTCACCTTGCATATCAATATACTCAGCTCAACACGTAAACAACATATACATACTCAGTTGCACCATGTTCTAGTCACACCAGGATTACGTCAGCAAGGCGTAAGATTGGCTATGCTGTTTATTCAAATATCTTTTATGAGCGTCTCAGCAATTCATGCATAAATAGCTTAATTAGGCAAAAAAAACTTTGAGAGATATTCTTTCTGTGTTGCAGATATGGAGATGTACAGGAATGACTTCTTAGACGACAAGTATTTGGATTACAATGCGCATAAACCTTCTCCTCTACCCGATAATTTCCATTTGAAGCTAATAACGCTCGAAGCGCCTAGTCTACAACCATTGGATAAAGGTGAAATGCCATTTAATCCACAAATATCGTGATTGGTTTCAGTTTTCGTCCTTTCTGAACCAAATAGTTCACGATTGAACACCTCCGTCTCGACAATTAGCGAACAGATTCTTAAGAAAGTAGATTCAGACATAAAGGAAGCCGCCGCCAAAATTGTGAGTTTGAAAATTCGCGAAATTCTGAAATGAGTGATATACAGGCTGCTTCATCTGCAATCTCTGCTGTAAATAGGGAAGGAGCCATTTTTGAAGATTTGGTGCCTATCAGCTTCGACGAAGCTGATTTCATTCGAAAACAAGAAGATATCTTGAACATCAAGCGCTCGAATTTGAAACGAAAATCTTAATCTGTTCCCATTTTTTTGTAAATATGTCTGTAAATACTCGTTTTATCCGTTTATGAACATTGAATGACCGTTTGTTTCATTTGCTTCCTGTCTTGTTTCGTTCAAGATACCATATTTCGTCCTTTTTTCACATAAGTTTTTAATTGAAGACGTCAGATGAACACTCCATTCCCACTTCCCATTGTGTCCAATTACCAGAATGAAGGAAAAAAGGTTTTACACTTTCCGTCTTTCTTCCTTTTTTGGTTATTGCTCACTTTTAGGTCAATGATGCCTTAGTTGTTATCGAACAGAAAGTCACGGATGCCAAGAAGATTGTCGAAGAACTGTTGTTCATGCTTGACTTACAGGAGAAAGTTCCATGGTATGTTGCCAAAGTATAAGTTCGCTCATAAATGCCTCATCAGGCCTGATATGCTGGAAAAGTTTTCTGCCATAGCCGCCGCTTATACTCAACTACAAGCATTGATTAAAAAGAGTGGAATTTTGGCAGGTGAGTAATAGATGGTTCGAGGTAGAGGCGTTTTGTATCTTCATAGGACATGAGGATCATGGAGCTCTTTTACGATCGCATGTAATGGTACCGCAAAGGCTCCAACTAGAAACTGATGATGATCTTGTGGTGATTTCTTTTCACATCGTCTTCTCTACGTCTTACTCATTTCTAGAACTTGACAAATCATAGGATGTATTCTTTCAATCACGATAATGTGCCCGACTATTTGAAGACACGTTATACACCCGATATGGAGAATGAGGAGTTCGCGATTGAGCAAGAGAGGACGACAAAAAGTTTGTTTTTGTTTGTTTGCACTTACAAAAAGTTTTTGTAGCCAACGAACTTGCCAATCGTCAAATTCAGAACTTGAACAAACATGTGGACATGTTGTTAGTGTCTCTGCCTGCTGCGGATAAAGCAAACTACGAAAATTTAATGGAAAAGGTATTTGTTTTGTTTTTTTGATGTTGTTGTTGTCTGAGACACAAGTGGTCACATAGTGTGTTGCCAAAAGGGCAAATGCCGTATGTGTCCTTGTTGGTTTGATTCCTGCGCATGTCATGTGATGATTTTCATTAAATGAGATTAGAGCCCTGCATAAATCTACACAATGCAGCTAATCACCAATGATACCTTTCGATAAGATCTGATGACATCTCAGCAGATTAGGAAGCATCTCAACTAAGCTTTCTCTTTTTCGAATCCTTTTGCTTCACCCTCAAACCCTCCTCTTTAAGCCTTCTCACAATATGGAAGATACAGTCAAACTTGTAAGAGCTATAATGTGTGGAGAGGGACTTCGTCAAACTCCTGTAGTTCGGGCTGCAGCTCAAGCACCACCATCCAGACAAGGAGGACAAGCTTCAGGTTCTGGAGCTTACTCTAGAGGCCAATAAATATCATGTTGTATAATATGTGAATAAATCTATTTATTACCTTGTTCTCAAGTAGCGCATAGGTTGTCTCTCCTGCCTTTACTTTTCATCCTCATTTCATCTTTATTGCTTATTCATTGTTGTAGGGATGAGTAATAATATTGCTCGGAACCGTGGTGGATCTTCTAGGTGTGATTTTTTTGGAGTTGAGCCACGAGTACCCAGTCCCGCACCTTCCGAACGACGATCTAGTCAGCTAACGGGAATCAATTTGTCATTACAAGCTTTAATTGACGAGTTCCGAAATCGACCGAGGTAATATATTTGTAAGTCCCATCGATTCTCATTGTCGCTCATGCAGGCCAACTGTTGGCATCGAAGACAACCCTTCTGTGTTGTGTTCAACGACAAATGGTCCTAAACCTTACATAGACTTAGCTCCGATTGGTTGCAATGACGGCGAAGTCGAGCATATCACGGTAGTTCTTCAAGCTCTTGGAAAGCTTCATCACGCTCCTTACAGGTCCTATTTCCATGGATGCAAGTATCTGTTATTTGTAACACAGAAATGACCCTGTATAGATTGAAGAATGAGCTATTCTCTAGACTTCGAAAGTAAGTTTCTGTTTGCTTTTCTCCTCTAATATGCTCTGTTACAGTATGGAGGTTTCCAGTTTCTCCATGGAGCCTTCAAACTATTTATTCCGTGCTGTACGTCAATCTACTGGACAATTAGATATATTGTATAATGAGGATGTGAGTGGATATGCCTACTTCATTCCAATGATTCTTACTATTCCAGTCTGAACTGTATAAACTTGATCTCACAACACCTTTCCCGTTTCTCTTTCTGTTTGAACCTGAAGGAGCAAAGAGAGAAAGAAAATTGGCAAAGGGCGTAGGTATGGTTCAGACAGTGACTTCACCAAATACTCTTGTGCTTTTTCAGAAAGAGCGTTGGGTCGTTCTCTGACTATGCTAGAAGGAGATTTAACAGACGAGCTCAAAGCTTTTAGAGCTAGTTTATGGAAAGACATTTCTGAATCTGTGAAAAATCGAGGGAATGGCGGTGTAGACCATTATGCATTCCCTGAAGAAGATTATCTTGGAACGAAAGAAGCTCAAGCATCTTTAACGTTACGAATGAACTGTAAGTGTTCTACCCCACACTACCCCATAGCTCATTACATAATTTTCAGCAAAACCGAAATACATAGTTTTCTATCGATCACGGGAGGATGAAGAGTTGGGAATAGACGAGAATAGTGTATCAGTGGAAGTACCATACGCTGATGATCTCTACTCTAAAGACCTGATAGACAGAGTTCTAGAACAGTTTCAAGAAATCGGACAGGTTTGATTTGGAATCATTTGTTTATCTCATCGTCGTTCTAGAAATGTGATGACGAAGAATATATATTACAAATTGCTGGAAGAAAGACTTATATAACGGAAGACCGTCGCTTACTCGCTTCTCGCGTATGTTTGCTGTTCCATATCCTGATTAAGAAGCTCCGTTTCAGTGGTTGAGGAGTAATCTGAGTAATTATGTTAATCCCGTGCTAGTTTTGAGGAGGAAAAGTATTGTTCTCAGGAACTACTTGGAGCCCTTACCCCTTCAAAAGGTTCGGTTAACTTCAATATTGGTTTTCATATTGCCTATACTTAGCCTCACTATGTACACGCCGAAGAAGTGAAGGCTGAAGTAGAAACGAAAGAGCCATTACCATCGTTATGGACTGTTGATGAAAACCTCTTGATAAGACCAACCACATATAGTAATATGGGAGGTCATCATGACATGAACTCTTCGGTAACCAACAGCTTATTCACTCAGTACATACAGTAGTTTCATCTAGATTGTTGTACTTTTCACGTTCTATATGGGCTCTGTAGTTATGGCTGAGGTTGTTTCAAAATCTATTTCTCCTCGCAATCCCCGATGGCTTGACGTGAGTATCCCCGATTTGTTCAATACCACTCAAACTGTCTTTTAGCCAGCAATCCATACAGGAATATATATGAAAGATGTGCCTGAAGCTATGATTCTCACCATCGAAGTGTTTGAACTGAGAAGATCCAAGAAAACCAATGATACCAGCAAGAAGTAAGCCTCTGATATCGGGATAGTCTATGAATTTGAATTCAGAAATGACTCTGACCCTAAAAAAACTAATTCGGAAATAAACTTGTTGGCTCTACTGAAAGACGAAGATGGCAAAGGAAGAAAGTACAAGGATAATGTGAGTTACTCTACCGTTGAGTGTTTCGTATTCGAAAGCTTCAGGAAGATAGAATTTCTGCATCTCGGATAGGATGGGTCAACATGCCCATGTACGATTGGAATGGTGATATGCAGTTAGGAACTTTCACAGTTGCACTGTGGACTACAGATTTCGAACCTCCTCCAAATGGAAGAATCGGAACTATGGACACAAAGCTTCATGGACGATCCGGTCAGTGTTATCTTACCAATCATAACTTTTCTGTATTCTCCAGCTGTGCATTGTCGACTGACGTTCGAAACAACAACGACAATAACTTCTCGCGAGGCAGGACGCAGAAGCTGTCGAATCGTGGATGATTGTAGATGGAAGGAATTATACAATGTTCATTTTAAGAACGATGTGTACCAGTATGTTCCGGTAAATTCTTCTAGCCGTGACGGATGGTTAATGTCTATGATTTCTTTCCAGGAGAGGGACGATGAATCTTTGGAGAAGATCAAAGGTTTCCTAGAAAAGCGCTATGTAGGAACTTCTTTGATGGAGGAAGAACAGCAGTTTGTGTGGGATAAAAGGTTAGTGTTGGATGATGTACGAGAATATTTGTTATTCTTTGCAGAGATCTCGTGTCCAATCATATGCCCGATGCCATCCTTCTGATAATGGAGAGTCGCTACATGTGGGAAACAAGAGAATCGTTTGGATACATATATACCAAGTTACTGTACGGTCAATGGGGTTCTTTAAGTTTGCCAGCTGCTATCACCATTCTCTCAACAAAGTTATCAATTTATACTCTTCATGTCATCTATATCATTTTCCAGATGTAGCGATAGGATCATCAGAAAGTTTGCTGCTCAACAGTTGGATGAATCCTTAAGCGATCATGATCTCTCTCTCTTCATTTTACCAATAATCCAAGTGAGAAAGTTATGGAAGAAGTTGATTATTTTTAATTTGTTAAGTCTCTCAAATGCGAAACCCGTGCCGACTCAGACGTGGCTCGTCTTCTTGTGAAAAGAGCGCTATCTGATTATCGGCTTGGACATAAGTGCTTCTGGTTACTACGAGCTGAGCTCATTGGGCTACAGTAAGATTGAAATTTCATGTGAAATGTGTACTCTCATTCTTTTTAGCGGAGGAGTTTCCGGACATCTGAACCAAGTCATGTACAAACGCTTTGCCATTTTAATCGAAGCTTTCATTAGAGGCAACGAAGAACACATGGAAACTATTCTCAAGCAGGTATTACTTCCTATCTTTACTTTCTCAATCAGCCTCGCCGTAGATTGAAATGGTTGAGTTCCTTTCCAAAGTGAGTAGTGTTGTGAAAAATTACAAAGATCGTGATGCTGCCACAAAGGTAACCCTCTTTCTGTTTGGCTGCTTTCTTAATTTTGAATTACAGCGATTACAACAAGAGTTGGAGGATAATAGAGCTCTAGTGGAACACATCGATTCGCCTCTTGACCCCACCGACGTTTTGGGAGAATTGATGTAATTTACTTCGTTTATCGAAAACAAGCGTATTGTATTATTTGTTGCAGAATCGAAAAGTGCAAAGTCCTGGGAAGTGCTAAAATTCCCATAAGGCTAAGTTGGAGGAATGCCAACCCTCTTTCTGAACACTACTTACCTTTAAGGGAGATAATCTTCAAAAATGGAGATGGTAACCTCTTTCTTAAGTTCTATCTCATATTTTTGCTTACTCAGATCTGCGACAAGATATGCTCGTTCTTCAAGTTTTAGTAATAATGGATGCTATCTGGAAAAGAAACAACTTGGATTTCTGTTTGAGTCCTTATCCTGTTCTACCAACTGGCATTAAGGTCGGGATGATCGGTGTTGTACCCAACTGTTCGACCATCTTCGAAATTCAATCCGAAGGTGGAAAGATGGGGACAGCTGTAAAATCACTTGAAACAACTTTTCTCAACAAATACGTTCGGAATAACTCTCATGACTCAACTTCGTGCGTTTTACGTATCATCATTTCTTATCACACAACGTATTTCCAGATATTTGGAGAGTGTTGATCGGTTCATGTTATCTTGTGTTGGATATTCTGTGGCTACGTTTGTAATGGGAATCAGAGTTAGCTTTATTTATTGTAATTATTCTTCATGGTTGACTTCAGGATCGTCATAATGATAACCTGATGGTTACTAAAGATGGAAAGCTTCTTCATATCGATTTTGGACATATTTTGGGACATGGCAAAACCAAACTAGGAATCCAAAGAGATCGTGTTCCTTTTGTACTGACAGAGCATTTCCTTTGCCTCATTTCGAAAGGAAATCCTGTTCCAAAATCAGCTCACGAAATAGAAAAGTGAGTTCAAACTGGTTGAAGTGAACAGATATGAACTGTGCTCCAGATTCCAAACTTTCTGTACAGAAGCGTTTTTGTATTTATACGAGGAAAGATTGCTTTTCTCATCTCTTTTCACGGCCATGAAATCTATGGAGTTGCCTGAGCTTTCCACAGAGTCCGACGTAGATCATATTAAGGTACTGCAAGAGAGACGAACGACTTTTCAACTTTTTTTCAGAAATCTTTACGAGTAGATAATCCGGACAGGGATGAAGCTCGCAAGTATTTTGGCGAAATATTTGATGAAGCTTTCAACGGGTCCTGGGCTACTAAGACTAACTGGTTCTTCCATACGGTTAAACATCTATAATATGTCAAACAAATCCTCTTTAATATTTTATTTTAACTTCTAGTCAAACTAATTTCTCTTCAAAGAGCTTATTAATCAATATTTTCATGCTATTCTGTGATTTCGTTACTCATTTCTTCCATTTTTCGGGTATACATGTACCTTAATTGTCTTCTCATACCTCTGAACTTCCTGACTTACAGGTATAACATTAAGGAGAGTTTTATCTAATTATTACAGAACATTTTTCGATTTTTTTCTATGTTAATAATTTTTATTTCGTTTTCAATAAAATTTTTAATTTAAGCACTTTTAATTTTCTGTAAGGTTCTGGACGGTTAGGGTGGAATGCAACCGTTCTGGACGGTTAGGGTGGAATGCAACCGTTCTGGACGGTTTGAGATGGAATGCAACCGTTCTGGACGGTTTGGGATGGAATGCAACCGTTCTGGACGGTTTGAGATGGAATGCAACCGTTCTGGACGGTTTGGGTGGAGCCCGGATGAGTGCAGGCTCTAACCCTGGCTTGGGAGCCGATGAACTTTTCCTCCCTCTCTGGAAGACCTCCAGAGAGAAAGGAGTGGAGCTCACCGGCTCACACCGCCAACTGACGTGATTCGGCTGCTCCACAGCTTTTATACCCCCGCGGGAACGCGCCACGTGAAAATAATTTTTACGTGAAAAAAAAATGATCCGGTCGTTCTCTTTCGGGAAAACGATGAAACTTTGCTCAAAATTAATGAAATTGGGTGTTTTTGGGGTTATTTCAGATCAGAATTTCATTTTAAACTCGAATATCATGTTAATTCATAGTTTTCAGATCAAAAATCTATAGAAAAACCCTAAAATTCATTTCAAAATCACGTAGGAAGCAGATTTCATGGAAGATTCGGTATATCGTCTAACAACATGTGCTCCAATGCCAATCGTTGATTCGAATCAATCAATAAACAAAGAAAAAACAATTATATTTATGTATTTTATAATTTTGAAT